TAGATAGATAGATAGATAGATAGATAGATAGATAGATAGATAGATAGGGATAGGATAGATATATGATTGACAGAAGATAGATTGATACGGTATGATGTGATATGATAAGGTGTGATATGATGGATGAGGACATAAGATATATACAGAGCTATGCGAAGGTATTTTCTTGAAAGTAGGAACTTTCTAAAATGGCCACAGCTGTAAGCTAAAACTCAGCACTTCGTTCTGCTAGTGTAAAAAGAGTAACCAGTGGACTACAGGAGCAGAAACCTCAACGCACAGGGTCACTGTTGTACAGAGGGTCACAACATTTCTCCAGGGTGTACAAATATTTGACATTGTCCTTTGCTTCATTAGCTGCATCCGTGATCCTAATGTCTGTCTCCCGCCAGACCTAAGCACAACGCAGAAAAACAGTTTTAACACAATTACTTCCAGAGGAGCCTGCATAACAAGACCTAATAATTGTCACCTCCTAGCTCCTCAGCATCTCCATTTGCTCTCTGCCTCCTGCGTTTAGAAGCTGAATCTGAAAAAGATGTGGAAGAGCAAGTCCAAAAGTTTAACGAAATGTTTAAGGGCCTCTGTCTCCAGATTTGTCTTGGATACGCTACTCCAGCAGAGAGTTCAGCAGGGCACCACTGCCCTGTGAAGTCACAGCTTCCTGTGCGGTGGCCCCCAGACTAGCTTTGTGTCTCATGCTCACGTTTTCCATATTCTCTCGATTCCAACCTGATCTCCCCTTCCCCGGAGCCCTAAACTTGTTTCCATGTTATAACAAGCATTTATTAACTGCCAATGAGCTGTCCAGACATTAAATTAGAACAATACCTAAGAATTAAAGGGGATGTAACATGAATTGGCTTTCTATTGCATCACGATATGTAAAGTCACTGTAAAACACATAATATAAGAAAAAATTATGACTTGCTGCTAATAAATAGAGTATGACAGAAGCAATGATAACTTAATCCCAGGATTAGCTTGCAAAGACTGTGCCTACTATATTGGGTGCTCTTTAAAAGAAGCCTGCTACCCCATCAGCTGCCTGTTGGCTCATCAGGTGAGCCAACAGCCGAGATGCAGCCTCATAGGACCTTAGCTTGGCTAAGCTGTACCCCAATTCCTGGCCTGAAGTAAAAATACTATTTTCAGCTAAAAGAGTTTCGCAGTTATATGCTTTGCAGCATAAAACTAATATATGAGGACTTCGGTTGTCATGATTACTATATCTATGTTGTCTGAATTTATTACATGTTCTGTTCATATATAGCCGTGCGATCACTTTATATCTCAGTTACTTGCAATGCTCACTCATAATTCATATAATATAAATATAGCAGCCAACAAACATCTTTAAGTTGAAAGTTAATTCACAGTATCCAAAGTTATGTGACTAACACTACAGTCTTAAAAGATTTTCATATGGATAAAATAACACCTCTCTATCCCTAAGTGTTCTGTGGAGTTGCAGATGGAGAACTTTCTTATTCACATAACATAAATCATGGCAAAATGGCTAAAAACCTTCAGAAGCTTGGACTTGGCTGCAGCGAGCACTGCTAGCACAGCCTTCACATCAGGGCTTTTCAGTTGCTCTAAAAGGTAATTAAATTTGGAGAGCCTTTTTTTCCAGTGCTCCAACTCTGCTCTCGGACCAACATCATCTGCTTCTTTCCGCAGCTGATTGCTCTCAGCAAGGATCTGTAGGTGCAGGAGAAGAACAAGCAATTGTGTGAGACCTGAGGTGTGAAGCCATACATGAGCAAAAAAGAAGTCGTAACAAAGAAGTTACCCTATGTGAATCATGTATTTGTTCACTTCTGAGACTTCAGTGATGGGTTTTAACTAATTCAGCATAAACCCATTATTCTAATTTCAGGAAAGAACTGAGTTGACTTTTGCTACCCAACAGTGACTTAGGTGATGACGTTGAATGAGCACTGGATGCCATGAGTATATGCGGTTTCCTTGCCTGCTCTTTAAATGCGTGAACTGAAGCAACTTCGCGCCTTAAGCAAGGTAAGTTTACATGTATACACTGCTCGGATGGAATAGTCTCCTCCATCTAGAGCTTTTCCAAAAAAATTTGAAGACTTGTTTGTGTGTGTGTGTGTGTGTGTGTGTGTGTGTGTGTGTGTGTGTGTGTTGGGGGTGTAAGTTAATGCAGATACCTATGAAGATCAGACAAGGTTATTGGGTCCCTGGAGCAGGACTTCCAGGCAGTTAGAAGTGATTTGATGTGAATGCTACAAACTGAACACAAGTCCTCTGCAAAGGCAGCAAATGCTCTTAGCCACCAAGGGCCCGCCCCATAAAATACTTTGAGTAGTTACGTCTCAAGCTCTCGCTTGAAGGACACAATGAATTAGTGACCTGCCCCAAACGTCCATGGAAGTTTTCTGAAGAATTAGCAATGTGTAGCCTTCTAGTCGCTTAATTACACAAAATCACCAATTTCTACTTTCTTAATACTGATCATAAATAGAAGCTCCATTGAAGTGCCTTCTCTTTAAGAGTGTGTGGTATGCTATGTGGATAATGAATATACCTGGAAAGGACTTTCTCCACTGGTGACTCCACTGACACAGCATCTGAAATCACCACGGATTTCTGAGTTACCTGTTCTGTCTGTCTGATCCAGACTTTCATGCAACACTCTACTCTTTCCACAGTCTCAGGGTTACTAGCTAGAGCCAAGTAGTCCAGAGGTTCCTTGGAGGACTTCAGTTCCAATATGTCACATTTTTGAAGGCTCACCTAATTAAAATTAAGATTACAATAATAAGATAATGTTTACAAATGTCTGTAGACACTTTCTGGTCAACTTGAGGTTAGTTGGAGCTCAATGGATTCTTTGCATCATTACTACCTTGATCATTCAAAGTGCTTATTGAAAAGGCAGCACCTAATAATGGTAACAATAATACCTATCTTTCTCTGTGTCTTAAGTACTACAAAAGATTCTGAGCTCAAATTTGGCTGGATATTAGAGAAAATACACCATGAAACAGAGAAGCTAATAAGAAAATTAGAAATAGTCACCAAGTTATATCACCACAGAGACTGAGTCAACCTGGAGGAAATTAGCATGGGAGGTGGAAATTCGTAGTTTTCACTCTATCACTGAGTTCCTTTTTGGAATTAAGGAGAGAAAAGATTCCCATGTCTTCACAGTTAGCAAGTTCAATTGCAAACGCTTGAGTACAGTTTAGAGGGCAGAGATCCAAAATAAGCCCAATATACTTTTAAGCACGCATGGCATACCAAATCACAACATGACCTTCTCAGTGTCTACAAATACCTTCCTTCTGATAGAAGTGTTCCTTAAAACGTGTGTGAATCTCAGAACTCAGTGCTCATACACAATTTGGCTTTACCTTCAAAAAAGATATGACTCATATTTCAGCATGTTCAGGGCCAAAAAATGGGCTACTACTATTGGTCACTCATATAACCCAACATGGATTCGGGGCATTAAACAGAGCACCAAAGAATGCTCCAGAGAGATGGGCATGGAAGTGTTCATGGAGGCACCTCCGCATACCAGGGTCTGCCACGAGAAACACACCCACACTGTCATTCCTCCTGAAGGCTGCTCGCTGCCTCCGTGGGCTTCATAGTAAGCCTTGTCAGCCCCAATCTCTCACGGTCTCTGTGCCTCCCTTCCAAGCTGACTCTTTCCCATAGGATGGTTGTACAGGCCTTCAGTTAAAAGCCAAGATCTTCATCTCCCCAGTGCAATCTGATTCCAAAACGACCTGAACCAGCCTTGTTCCCCACCTTTGCTGCACTCTCATGGAGCTCTTATAAATCTTCTCGGGTCAAACATGCACCCAAGCCACTCCCTGTACTTTTGCTGGCACTGATCTATCCTGGACAGACCTTCCAACACTCCTCCATGGTTGCACACACCCTCAGGAGCTGGCCTAAAGTCCAGTGGCTTCTCCCACTCACTCAGAGACAATGCCTCCACATCCTGCTCTACTAATATCTCCATCACACATGAGGAAGAGTCGCAGGAAAGCCCTGCTTTGGGTAAGAACTTTCTTCCATTTGGTTTGGTTTATCATGCATTTTGTTCTGGCCTGCAGCCTAGTTAACTGTGAATACAACTAAGATGTTAGCTAGAAGAAATGCCTACCCCTGTCTGGATAAAATTTTCTCAGTGCCACAAGTCTACATTATTAGTAAGCTCAGTTTCATTCACTGAACAGGCCCAGTATTCCCTGGTGAAGTGGGGATAGAGCTGCCTTGCTATGATTACCATAGGGGCCACATCTCCCTACTACACATACCTGACCTCAGCTGGACATCTTTACTTACTCTCCTCACTGCCTCTGTTTGTGTCTCTCTCTAACATACATACACACACACACACACACACACACACACACACACTGCAGATACACATGAGTGTGCAACCAGCAACTTCTACTTAACCGTTAAGGAAATGTGCTGCACAAGTCATATAAACAGGCAATCTCACATTGGCCAAGCTCATTATTAAAAGCTGCTTCAGTCATAAGCTAAACTACTATACCCAACCCCTTCCCTCCAGGAAGAATAATTCCTATTTCCTTCTTTTTCCACCACTTCTGTCCTGCCCCTTCTGATCCTGCCCCTTCCTACTTAACACACACAAACATACACACATTCTCCACTGTAGCTCTAAATCTCTTTTCATTTTAGGAAATACATCGGTGCCACAAGCATTCCATCTTCCATCTAACAGACTGAGTAAAACTTTAAGTTACTATAAACCAGGGCTCTCAACCTGTGTGTCACAACCCCTTTGGAGAGGGAATGACCCTTGTATGGCGTCACATATCAGCTACCCTGCATATCGGATATTTATATTATGATTCATAACAGTGGCACAATTACAGTGATGAAGTAGCAATGACAGATTTTATGGTGGAGGGGCACCACAACATGAGAAACTGTATTAAAGGGTTGCAGCGTTAGGAGTGTTGAGAACCGCTGCTATAAACATTCTTACAGGCCTCAGAAGCATTACGCCTGTAGAACTGAAAGTATTTAAATCAAGCCACAGTCGCATCTTAAGGTATTAAAATTACCTACAAACATTTTGAAAGCTTTCAACACAGTAGAATAAAGCCCTTCCATGTAAGAGAGAATCACCCCTCGTATTTTCTGTTGTTGGGAATCTGGTAATCATTTTTAATGAACCGCCTACTCCTTCTTACCTTCTCCTTCAGGCTCTCCTGTGCACCTGACAAGATGCCCACAAAACCATCCAGAGAGCTCAGGAAGTCCTGCCGAATGCTGGCTGCATCCTGAAGCCCCTCGAGCTCACCCCAGCCATGGCTTGAGGCCCTGAGAGCTGGGATGAAGACGTCAGAGAGCAGACGCCTCACGCTGTTCAGCAGGCCCCCATCCGCAGTGTCTAACGTGTTAAAGCTCACCTCCTGGAAAACAGGTCCATCACCCTGTGTTGTAAAACTTAGCCTCAACTGCAGCATAGCAGTGAAGTCACTAAACATGTTAATTAAACAAATAGTGGGTGAATCTTTTTTTCATACTGAGAAAGATACTTTTATACCAGTTCAAATTATATTCCCCTAAATTAAAAAAAAAAAGAAAGAAAGAAATTGAATTCTAGGAGTTTATTAGCTTATTTGCTACAAGAAAGTAATGAGGTCATGCAACCTCTGACAGACAGAGAACATCCAAACAGTTGCACTTTGCTTTACACAGAACATCAAGTTGTATATACACTGTTAGAAGTCTTGTCGTTAAGTAAATTATGGGTGGGAGCTTCTTTTGGAAAGAAAAGAACTCACTCTGTACACAGATACAATGTTCTGCAGATATTTTATTGGTAAACTGAATATCAATTCCTCATCAAAAGATAAGAAGGTAATATTTTTTAAGTGTCTGTTTTAAATGCTAAAAAAAAAAATTGACGATAAAGGGACTTCCTTGCTCTCTGTCTGTCTATCTGTCTGTCTGTGTGTCCTGGGGATTACACTGAGAACCTGAATACTCTAAGCAAGTGCTCGACCACTAAACTAAAGGCCCAGCCACTTTAAGAATCCTGTGGTTATCTCCACAAAACGAGGCAGGTTTGAGCAAGGTTTGTGGTTTGGAGGAATCTGAGATAAATGACGGTCCTCTTACCCGGTGGATATTCTCAGCCGTGATGGCTTTAGAAGGGTCAGACCTGATGAAGAACACACAAACTCCCGTGAGAGCAACATCTTTTCCTTCCGTCACAAACACCTTGGGCTTTTTCGTCTTTCCAGGAACAGGAGTTACCCCTCCTGAAGAGCCAAACTGTCCTACAAACGCAAAACAACTTTAGTTTCACAAATGTTGTTTGTGGTGTACAGAGCTGCTACCTAGAGTGAAGATTCCTTGTAGAATTTACTATAGCTGACCTGCCAGATCTAGACACAGCCGGCACTTGCATAATCTCTAGTCTCATCCTGAAAGATATCTAAAAAGATCTGATGGATTCCAGATCACAGGGTCAGTGAGCGAGACGGGCAGGGGTAAGGGTGGGAGCAAAAAGCACTGATTGTCATGCACTATTTCCAGGATCTCTCCTGGAACCATGTCTATACTACTAAAGCTTAGAACCCTGAGGCACCTGTAAGCTATCCTGAACTGTACCACCAACGAATGTCAGGGGCAAAGTCAAAAGCAAGTCCTAGCTACAAAACTGAGGACTCTCACATCTCAATGCTTCATGACACCATCATAATCCAGGCAGCTGGTTAGTTGTGTATATTGCTAGCTTCAGGCATGAGCAGAGGTAGAATAACAAAGTAATTGATGTTCTCGCTCTAGAGTGAGACCCAGGGCTTTAACCTCCATCTGTTTCCTAACCACATGACCTTGAACAAGTTGCCTAAGCCTTCTCTGTCTTCTCATTTTGCATATATGGGTGTTCTGCCTTCCTGTACGTGAATGACGGGTGTCCAGAAAGGCCAGAAGGGGGAGTCAGGTCCCCTGGAACTGGAGTTGTAGATGATTGTGGAGTTGTAGATGATGTGAATATGAAGGACTTAACCTGTATCCTAAGCAGCCCCTCTCATGTTATTTTTTAAAAAGTGGCATAGGCTATTCTAATCTAACATTCTTTGTAGAATATTTGCAGAATTTTGTGAAAATTTCATAAACTTATTACCTCAGCAAGCATTTTCAGAAAGATCTGAAAGCTCATGTTGGTTGTCTAAGAGTGTTGTTTGCAGAGTGGCTCAGTTAGGTACAACAGAACATGCTCTATGTTGTTCCACTGTGTTCAAGTAAATTTTATATCCTTAAGTGAATTTTATACCCTCAGAGAGAGGGTGGTGTTCAGGGAAGAATTTGGGGGAAGGCAGTGAAATGGAAATTGAAATCTGAGTCCTGAGAATAGAGCCTCTCCCTCAAGTTGTTTCTGCCTGATGGTGCTGAGCTTCTGACTGGCAATTTGGGGAAGGACCCACTCCAAAGGGAAAGCCAGTTGCTCTCATTTTCAAATGAAGCCCACTGCTGATGAATACACACAGGTCTAATAGCAGATGAGGGACAATAAGCAAGACAAGGCATTTCAACCAAGGCAACAAGATATGAGAGATACCAGAAAACAGAGTCTCTAGGGAAAATCCACAGGATTCATACTTCCTGTGTTCAATAGCGCACAGGAAGTATGAAATCCTTCTTTGTTTGATGGGGCCAAGAAACAGGTATTCATTGTTTTCTCTGTCACAAAGCTGAAGGGTTCTTGGGATGCTGAACTCCCAGTACTAGAACCAGGAAAGTCTCAGGCGAGAGAACACAGTTGCCAGTCTTAGTGAAAAGCAGGATTTCAGTCCAACCTCCTGCAAAGTCTGGCCTCCTAGAGGTTAGGAACACGATAGGCTGGAAAATGATGCCTGTTGCCAATAAATCCTAACACAGCGCACAACCTACAGAGAAAGAAGTGGGCAAGGGATGGGAGCTAACCAAATGCCCACAGTCCCAGATGCCCCTCAACTGAGGAGTGGATACAGAAATTGTGGTACATCTACACAATGGAATACTACTCGGCAATTAAAAACAAGGAAATCATGAAATTTGGAGGCAAATGGTGGGAACTGGAAAAGATCGTCCTAAGTGAGGTATCCCAGAAGTAGAAAGACACACAGGTTATATACTCACTCATAAGTGGATATTAGACATATAATATAGGGTAAACATACTAAAATCTGTACACCTAAAGAAACTAATCAAGAGGGAGGACTCTGGCTAAGATGCTCAATCCCCATTCAGGAAGGCAAAGAGGATGGATATCAGAAGAGGGAGAAAACAGGGAACAGGACAGGAGCCTACCACAGCAGGTCTCTGAAAGGCTCTACCCTGCAGGGTATCAAAGCATATATTGAGACTTAAAACCAAACTCTGGGCAGAGTGCAGCGAATCTTATGAAAGAAGGGGAAGATAGAATGACCTGGAGAGGACAGGAGCGCCACAAGGACAGCAACAGAACCAAAAAAAAAAAAAAAAAAAATCTGAACATAGGAGTCTTTTCTGAGACTGATACTCCAACCAAGGACCATTCATGGAGGCAACCTAGAACCCCTACAGAGATATATCCCATGGCAGTTCAGTGTCCAAGTGGGTTCAATAGTAATAGGACAGGAACTGTCTTTGACATGAACTCAGTGGCCTGCTCTTTGATCACCTCCCCCTGTGGGGGGAGCAGCCTTACCAGTCCACAGAGGAAGACAATGCAACCACTCCTGATGAGACCTGATAGACTAGGATCAGAAGGAAGGGGAGGAGGATCTCTCCTATCAGTGGACTAGGGGAGGGGCATGAATGGAGAAGGGGGAAGGAGGGTGGGATTGGGAGGGGAGGAAGGAGGGAGCTACAGGGGGGATACAAAGTGAATAAACTATAATTAATAAAATTTAAAATTAAAAAAAAAATTTAAATGATGAGAAAAATAAGTGCCTCTCTTAAATCAGGTGAGGGGACTTCTCTGAGGAGAACTTTCCAGAGGGTAACTTTCCATCACTCAAGAGGAATGCTGGAATGGTGCAGAACAGAGGTAATCCAGCTGGCATGTGCCATGCACTGTGAAACACTGAAACAGAAGGCTGCAGTTTTATGAGGACAACACATGATGGTGAGCTATGCTGTCACTGCTGCATGGGGACCTACATGGCCACAAGAACATGAGCTCAGCAAGCTCAGCAGTAGCAGTCGAGTATAAACTCTCCCCTCACCTTTACTTCTTGTGTGTACATGGCTTCAGACCTGACAGATACTAATTGACCTGAGCTGAGTTCAGATGAAGGAAGAAAGCAAGGAGAATCAAAAGTTCCTCTTGAGTCCCAAGTGGAAACCTTCAGAAGCCCTAGACAAGGGTCAGAGGAAGCAGACGGTGAGTGCAAAGAAGGGTGAGTTTGCTTCTGACCAACTAGATTTGGTCAACTGCATACTCTACTTGTTTTAATTAATATTATGTTTTCAATTTGAAATGATCACAGAAGTTTTCCTAAGAATGTTTAGAAAAGTCACTCAAGAGCCTGATTCTTACTCCAAGGTCAGAAGAACTAACCTTGGATGCTGAGAAGATTGAAAAGGGGAGTGAGAGAGAAACAAAAAATTCTTGCTTCTTTGATGGACCCTATGAGCCCTTCTTATTCTGTGCAGTTTATACCAAATGGGTAATTTCACCCTGAGCATGGTTACAGCTGAACACACTTCCCGCTGTAGTTCATGTTCTGCAATCTGAGATGGAAATCAAATCTTCTGTCTTTTAATTCCTTTTACTCAAAATGTAATGCACTTTCTGTGGAAAGATAAATTTATAACTAAAGAAACGTCAGCAATTCAAAATTTTCACACATAATGTATGTGTGTGAGTTTAAATGTGCACGCATGTGCGTATGCACACGTGTGTGAACACATATGCACGGAAGTCAAAGTTTGACATTGAGTGTCAATGTTAATTAATTGCTCTTGTGTTTTTAAGCCAGGCTCTCTCAGTAAGCCCAGAGTTCAGCAATTGCCTAGGCTATCAGTGAGCTCCAGGAGTCTTCCTGTTCCTGCCCTCCCACTGATGGAATGATGGGCACAGGATACACCCCGTTATTTTTTTTTTAACTAGAGCTCTGGGGATGAGAACTCAGGTCCTGTCCTTGTGCTTTGTGGCAATCAGAACATCTACACAGTCTCCACAACAATTTCTCTGAGTGTGAAACTAAGAAACATGTTCATGCTTCCTGACAAAATCAGTAACTATTTCCAATTATTAAAAGTCTTGAAAGGATACATATAATACTAGAAGTGTGATATATTTAGTCAGGACTCTACTTTGGCCTTAAAATTATATTGATCTGATTAAAAGTATAATTCAGCTGAATTCATACAAAGCCTTACAATGTTTTAAGTGCAAGTATTCAATCTATCATTCAACATTGCACATAATCAATCAAAACCAGCAAAAAATAAAGATAATATTGTATTTAACTAACGGAAGTTGATGCTATACTTACTGACAAGAATTCCTCTGTTAAAAACCCAGCGTTTGCTGGAAGTTCTAGAACATGGTTACACAGAAGGAACTAGTACACAAGAAAAGTAAGTCTCAGCTGAGGGTGGTCACTCATGCCTGTAATCCCAGCACTCAGGGAGGCACAGGCTGGCACATCTCTGCAAGTCAGAGGCCAGTCTATAAAGTGAGTCTGCGCCAGCCAAGGCTACACAGAGAAACCCTGACTTGAAAAACCAAAAGGAAGGAAGGATGGAAGGAAGGAAGGAAGGAAGGAAGGAAGGAAGGAAGGAAGGAAGGAAGGTCTCAAGACAAAAATTTGCATGATTGTACCCCCACTGCCGGCAAATCAAAAGAAACACAAAACAATTAAAACATCTAGGTTAACTACCATTCTCCATCCTCGAACCTGAAAGAGAAAGCAGACATCCTTCCACAGGGTACACACTATATACATACCATACATACACACGCATGCATATACACATACTCTACACACATACAGGACACACACACTATATACACATACATACACTACACACATACAGGACACACACACTATATACACATACACTACACACATACATATACACATACACTACACACATACAGGACACACACACTATATACACATACACTACACACATACATATACACATACACTACACACATACAGTACACACACACTATATACACATACATACACTACACACACACATACATATACACATACACTACACACATGCAGTACACACACACTACATGTACACAATACACACCATACATACACACTACAAGGACATCTTACACACATAAAGCAAACACAAACACTGCATATACACAATACATACATATACACAAACACTACAAAGGCATGATATATAAACACTGCAAAAACATCACACACAGTACACACACACAACATACATGTACACCACAAGGACCTCATACATGCGTATACAACACCCATGTACCATACATACACACCACAAAACACTACATAACATATACATCACACACACACACACACACACACACACACACACACACACACACACCTAGCACTCTAAGGCATAGGCCTGTTTAGTCCTTCATTACATTTCTTCTTTTTGCCGCCCTCAAATGAATTTAGTGACATTTCTAGGCTATCTCATGCCAAATGACAATACCTGCTTCTGCTCCTTCCACATCCTGATAGTAAAACATGAGATGACGGAGTCCTCCAGTAGCAAAAAGCTGATCGATTCTTTCAATCTGAAAAAAGATAAGGTAACATTTTTGTTCTGAATTAGAAAATGCATTTAAACCAGTACTGATGGCATATCAATTCAATTCACTACCATATTCTTATAGTGCTGAACCCAATGCCTCTCCTAAGCAGGGAGTATTTTCCTAGCACAAAAAAACACGAAGAACAAATGTCTCACTCAACTCAAAGAAGTAATTTCACTGATCACAGAAATATTTACTATGTATGTACATTTGACAAAGACTTGTCTTCCATTTTTGCTAATTCCACAAAGCACTGAGTTGTTAAAGACAGATATAAATAAAATATTTATAAATGAATATTTTGTGCTCAGTAAATTGCAAGTCAGAAAGAGAAAGTAAATCTTCAACACATAGCACAAGAGAGATAATTAACATTTAAATATAATAATCTTCTAAAGCTGCTTTAAGAACATATATAGCTGCCAACTATTCTTTCCATAGCCATCTCTCACCTGATCACATCCATGAGATCCAGAGTTCATCTATCTCATACATGGCCTAATACCAACAGAAATCTTGCAAGTAGTCTACAGCATGGTTTAGAGTTCATATGAGAAGAAGTGTAGACTGGGAGGTGCTCAGTCTGAAAGGCACTTGAAGGATCTGGATAACCAGAACTCTGTCATAAGAAGCCTATTATACTGACACATGCCTATAACCCCAGTGATAGTCAGGTGGGAAGTGAAGACAGGAGATTTTAGGAAACTTGCAGACCACATGGTAAAGTCCTAGGCCAGCAAGGAACTTGGTCTCTAACAAAAGGCTCCTAAGGCCCAACATCTAAGGTTGTCCTCTGACCTCCACATTCACATTGTGACAATATCCACATGTGTGGACATGTGTGCACATACATAAACACGCACACACAAAAATAAGAAGACGGATGATGCATATAGATATATGGATAGATAGGTGGATAGATAAATAGAAATTAGATGACAGATAGATAGATAGATAGATAGATAGATAGATAGATAGATAGATAGATGATAAATTGACATGGATGATAAATGAGATAGAAACAATAAAAAATCTACATACTCATTAGGATGGCTACTGCCAAAAAATAAATAAACACACTATGGGAATGTAAAAATGTACAGCCACTGTGGAAAACAGTACAAAGTTTCTTCAAAAAGTTAAACTTGGAATTGTCATGAGATCCATCAGTTCTGTTTGTAACCACACATAGCACATACATCGCAAAGTTCTGAAAGCAGGATCTCAAGGGGATGCTTGTGTTCTCACGTCTACAGCTGTTCTGCTCCCAGTCACCTCCACAGAAAGTGGAAATGCCGTGAATGAATAAACAAAATCTGACACCTGTGAGCAGGGACTTTTCTCGACTTCAATAAGCAAGAGGCCTCTGACACACGCCACAACAAAGATGCACCTTTGTGATGGCCAATCTTGGTCCTCTTTGCTAGATCTGGAATCAAAGGCAAGCCACCACACACTCCTGTAGAAGAGTTTCGTGACCAGATTGTTTGAAGTGATAAAACCAACCCCTGCATGTGCGTTGACCATTCTGGTGGAGACTAGACTAGGATCAGATGGAAGGGGAGGAGGACCTCCCCTATCAGTGGACTGGGGGAGGGGCATGGGTGGAGAATAGGGAGGGAGGGTGGGACTTAGAAGGGACGAGGGAGAGGATTACAGTTGGGATACAAAGTGATTAAACTGTGATTAATAAAAATAAATAAATTTTTAAAAAAGAATTAAAAAAAAAAACAATACAAAGAAGGAAACTTTACTTCTGCCTGATCACTTTCAGTCTTTCTGTCAAGTTCATCTAGCCTGTTGATGGTATTACTGCATTCCTTTGCTGATGTTAGAACCAGATTCTTTGGTTCTAACAGACATAAGACTAACAGCTCTCCAGGATCCTCAAGGCCTTCAGTGCCAGATTGGAACTGCTGAGCTGTTCAGTCTCATGGACTGAACGACTGCTAGATTCTCAGCCTTTCCAGAATACCCAGACTTCACTGTACAAGCCAAGTATGTGTGTGTGTGTTGATACATATATACAATCAGTTCTGTTCCTCTAGAGACCTCTGACTAATGCAACTATGAAACATTACACCAATGAAATAAAGCAATCCCTAAAGGACAATTACTGCATAGGTTCTCAAATATGAAGTATCTGGATGATTGTACCAGTACAGTGAGAAAGGCTAGGTAACCCACCCTCTGCTTCCTTTTTCTGTAATAGTATTATCTACCTCCTGGTAAGATGAATATGACTGAAATTGGAGGTGAGACTAACTCAAAACAGGAACTAATGATAGTAGATATTAAGTAAGTGTCACCTGTATCAAGAAAGAGAGGCAAAGAGGAACTTCCCCATTAACTGGGTCTGATGCCCTTCATTTTCTTCTAATTCTTGTTAATTGCTTCCTACAGTTCCTGCTCGAAGCTGTTAGTGTTGGCTAATGAATGAGTCTCCTTGGTCCCAAGGCCTTCCAACTGAGCATTTACAGCTACACAATGGCCATGGAGGCAGAAAGGTCTTCACCATAAAAACTGGCTCTATCTCAAACTAGTACTGCCCTACTCTGCCCCTCATCCTGTGCAAACTGGAACATGTTATCAACAGTTTCTTTTTCCCTCCCTCTCTCCCTCCCTCCCTTTCTCTCAGTTCTTCTCCCTTTTCCTCTTTCCTCCCCTCTCTCTCCCCTCTCATGCCATGTGTTTAAAAGTTAAGTCTTTGGGATTCTTTATTTATTTATTTATTTTTATTTTAAATTAAATTTTTTTTTTCTTTTTTTTTTTTATTTTTTCTTTTTAGTTACATTTTGTTAACTCTGTGTCCCAGCTGTATCCCGCTCCCTCATTCCCTCCCCAACCCCACACTCCCTCCCTGGTCTCCTCCCTGCCCCTTTCCAAGTCCCCTGATAGGGGAGGACCTCCTCCCCTTTCATCTGTCCCTGTTTTATCAGGTATCTTCAGGGCTGGCTGCAAAGTCCTCCTCTGTGGCCTAACAGACTGCTCCTCCCCTGGGGGGAGGTGTCAAACAGCCTGCCCTTGAGATCCTGTTAGAAATAGTCCGTGTCCCCCTTACTTTGGAAAACTACTTGGTTACTGAGCTACCACAAGCCACATCCGAGCAGAAGTTCTAGGTTATATCCATAGATGGTCCTTGGTTGAGTTTCAGTCTCAGAAAAGACCCTGTGCCCAGATATATTTGGTCCTTGTAGAGCTCCTATCCTTTCCATATCATACTAACTTCCCTTCTTTCATATGATTCCCTGCACTCTGCCGAGGGTTTGGTTATGAGTCTTAGTGTCTGCTTTGAAACACTGCTAGGTAGAGTCTTTCAGATGCCTTTTGTGGTAGACTCCTGTCATAAGTTCAAGGCACATCCCATTTGTCTTTCTAAATGAGGATTAATCACCTTCGCCTGTGTCCACTTTCTTGATTATCTTCTTTAGGTGTGTAGATTTCATTATGTTTATCATGTCTTGTAGGTCTATATAAGCGAGTATATACCAAGTTTGTCTTTCTCCTTCTGGGATACTTCACTCAGAATGATCTTTTCTAGATCCCACCACTTGCCTGCAAATTTCATGATTTCCTCCTTTTTGATTGCTGAGTAGTATTCCATTGTGTAAAAATACCACAATTTCTGTATCCATTCCTCCGTTGATGGACATCTGGGTTGTTTCCAAGTTCTGGCTATTACAAATAAAGCTGCTACGAACATGGTTGAACAAATGTCCTTGTTGTGTACTTGAGCAAATTTTGGGTATATACCTAGGAGTGGTATAGCTGGGTCTTGAGGTAGCACTACTCCTAGTTGTCTGAGAAAGCGCCAGATTGACTTCCAGAGTGGTTGAACCAGTTTACATTCCCACCAGCAATGGAGGAGGGTTCCCTTTTCTCCACAACCTCTCCAGCATGTGCTATCACTTGAGTTTTTCATCTTGGCCATTCTGATGGGTGTAAGGTGAAATCTCAGGGTCGTTTTGATTTGCATTTCCCTAATGGCTAATGAGGTTGAGCATTTCTTTAAGTGTTTCTCTGCCATTCGATGTTCCTCTTTCGAGAATTCTCTGTTTAGCTCTGTTCCCCATTTTTTAAGTGGATTACTTGGTTTGTTGCTTTTCTGCTTCTTTAGTTCTTTATATATACTTGATATTAGCCCTCTGTCAGATAAAGGGTTGGTGAAGATTCTTTCCCAATCTGTAGGCTGTCTATTTGTTTTGATGACAGTGTCTTTTGCTTTACAGAAGCTTTTCAGTTTCATGAGGTCCCATTTATTGATTGTTGCTCTTAGAGCCTGTGCTGTTGGTGTTCTGTTCAGGAAGTTGTCTCCTGTGCCAATGAGTTCTAGGCTGTTTCCCACTTTTTTTTCCAGCTGATTTAGAGTATCTGGTTTTATGTTGAGGTCCTTGATCCACTTGGACTTTAGTTTTGTGCAGGGTGATAAATATGGGTCTATTTTCATTTTTCTGCATGTAGACATCCAGTTGGTCCAGCACCATTTGTTGAAGATGCTGTCTTTTTTCCATTGAATGGATTTGGCTTCTTTGTCAAATATTGAGTATTCATAGGTGTGTGGGTTTATTTCTGGGTCTTCTATGCGATTCCATTGATCCTCCTTTCTGTTTCTATGCCAATACCATGCAGTTTTTATTACTGTTGCCTTGTAGTACAGCTTGAGATCGGGAATGGAGATACCTCCAGATGATCTGTTGTTGTACAGGATTGTTTTGGAGATTCTGGGTTTTTTGTTTCTCCATATGAAGCTGAGAATCTTTTTTTCAAGGTCTGTAAAGAATTGAGTTGGTATTTTGATGGGAATTGCATTGAATCTGTAAATTGCTTTTGGCAGGATGGCCATTTTCACAATGTTAATCCTACCAATCCATGAGCACGGGAGATCTTTCCATCTTCTGAGATCTTCTTCAATTTCTTTCTTCAAAGACTTGAAGTTTTTCTCAAACAGGTCTTTCACTTGCTTGGTTAGAGTCACACCAAGG